CAGAAAAATAACAATCATTCCCCGCCTTCAGTCTAACCTTAATCTCTTCTTCAATTTCGTTTTTTCTAGTTATCGTAGAACCTAGATACCTAAATTTATCTACCTGTTCAAACATATTACCATCTATATCGATATCACCAGTAGTATCGCCATTTTTGCAGCTAACCATATATTTTGTTTTATCCACGATTATTTCGAGTCTTAGTTCTTTACCGGCTTTCATTAACGTTGTCGTATTTAGTTTTATAGTTTCAACGTCTTCGCTTAACAGTACCAGATCATCAGCATAGCCCAGCACGGATGTTGTCCCGCCCAGATCCAACCCTTTCTCGGTTCGCATTACCTCCCTAATGGCATGTTCTAATGCCAAATTGAACAGGACAGGCGAAAGAGAATCCCCCTGTTTTAAGCCCGAACGAACCTCAAATTTTTCGGACAAATTATTACCGATTCTAACTTTATTGATTGTCTCCGTCAAGCACATCCTGACTAGATTTACTAGTTTTTTTGGAATCCCCTGCTCGATTAGAATATTATACAGTTTCTGGCGGTCAATAGAATCGTAAGCCTTTTTAAAATCTATATACAGCTGGTGAACAATACCGTTATACTCCAATTTTTTCTCTAATATTTGCCGTAAAGAAAATATTTGATCAATTGTCGAACGATTCCGTCTAAATCCGCATTGGTAGTCTCCGATAATTTCCTCGGCGTATTCCGTGATTCGACTGGTTAAGATTGAAGTGAATATTTTATAGCATACCGGAAGGAGTGAAATTCTTTGATAGTTATTACAATCCGTCCTCGGACCCTTTTTGTGAATCGGAATAAGAATAGATTCTTTCCATTCTTCAGGTAATTTCTCGTTCACCCAGATCTTTTTAACCAACCGATGTATTTTAGAAACTCCAGCTTCCCCGCATGCCTTAATTAGTTCAGTAGGAATATTATCGATTCCCGCTGCTTTATATGATTTTAATTTTCCGATAGCTACTTCAACTTCCTCTTTACTTGGTCCTTCTATTAACGGTTCAGCACTCTGGTACTCAGAAGGAGGACACAGATCATAATTTCCCGTATTTAAAATATTGTCAAAGTGGTCCTTAAACTTATTCAATATGTCAACCGGATCGGTCAGAATATTGTTATTATCATCCCTAATTCCAGACGTTACGGGCCCTACATATTTACGTGATCTGTTTATACCTTTGTACATGTCTCTTACGTTATTTTCGATTCTATTAGTTTCTATTTCAATTATTTTATTTTTAAGATACTCCCTTTTTTTATTTTTGAGCAATTTTGTCGTTTCGTTCTTTGAGATTCGGAAGTATTCCAGATTGTCTTCGCTAGGATTATTTAGAGCTTTTAATTTAGCGGCTTTTCTTTTTTCACACATGTTTAAGCAATCTTCATCAAACCACGGTTTGTTATTCTTATTTTCCTTTTTTCCTAGACACGAGTTACCGACCGCTTTTATATTATCCCTGATCTCTACCCATAACTTGTCAATATCCTCGTGGTCCTCGTCAGGAAGCTCTAAAGCTTCAAACCTATTCTTAACATCTAGCTCGAATTGGTTTCTAATTGATGGGTTTTTTAATTTTTCCAAATTAAAATTCTCAAAATCGAAACGGTTTTCTTTTCTCTTTTTTATATTAAGTTTTTGTCGAAGTTTCGCGATTACTAATTCATGATCCGACCCACATTCCGCTCCGCGATAAGACCGTACATTAATTATACTGCTTTGCCAGCTATGTTGTATCAAGACATGATCGATTTGATTTCGTGTTTGCGAATCCGGTGATGTCCAAGTATATTTATGAATATCCTTGTGTTTAAACGTCGTACTTTTAATTATCAGGTTTTTCGAGATGGCAAAGTTTATCAGACGGATCCCATTATCATTACTATATTCGTGCAAACTTTCTTTACCAATCGTCGGAATATAAACTTCTTCCCTTCCTACCTTTGCGTTCGCGTCACCTACAATTATTTTCATGTAGTTTCGTGGTAGTTTATCATAAACCCATTCGAGTTTATCGTAAAATTCACTTTTGACTTCATCGTCACTGTCTTCGGTCGGACAATGTATGTTTATTAATGCGATTTTAAACCAACGTCCCTGAAATGTAGCTACCGAAATTCTATCACTAAAGAATTGTACGTCCCTCAAAGCGGATAGTAATCTACGCCTAATTAGTAACCCGGTACCTAAACAATGATTCCCGCTTCCTCCGTACCAAATAGTGTACTTCCCTTCCCTCATCGAGCCCTCCCCTGGCCAGCGAACCTCTTGCAGAGCCACGACATCCAAATTGTACCCATTTACCTCATTCCCGACCGATTTTAGCCCCCCTGCTGTGTTTAAACTCCTTACGTTCCACGTACCAATATTTAAATCCCTATATTTCAACTTGCGCCATGAATCCCCTAAAGCAGTCCCCACCCGGAGACCCGAACGGGGGACTAGTTTACTTCCGGATAATGAGCGTTTTACCTTAGGGAGATCCATGACTTTTTGTGGTGTTTGGTGAACTAAAGATATGTGAGTAGGGCGTTCAATCCTACGTCACACCCTCCAGCAAGTCTGGTGGGCCCCTACCTCCAGCAAGTCTGGAGGTCCCCTCCCTCCAGCAAGTCTGGAGGGCCCCTCTCATTGTTGGTCAGCGAGTCCATCGGACTTAGCCGGGAGGAACTTCCAAGGAATTTCCACCGACCATCCCCACATCCGCCACCCGTGGGACGCTCCCCATACGCGGTAATGAGCCCGCGCGAGGAAATGCATCAGTATGCATTTTTTTTTATTAAGAATAATCCAATATGGAATCCTCAAATAACGGCACTCTTTCGCATCTTAATATTAGCTGATAAACGAAATTCATGGATATCAAACCCGCGAATGTTGAAGAGTAACTGTATTTCCGAATCAGCTTCTCCCAGTGATTTTATTTTCATACGAATAATTGTTTACCTTGTAATATTTTAATATTTTAGCCAATCAAAACGGCGAGAAAGCTATACTGACTTTACTTGGCAGACGTTTTTTATTGTATAGGAAGCGAAAACTAAAGAAATATATAATATAAGTAATTAACTAAACAAAATTTACTTCAGAAGGAAATAGAGATTGTTCTTATTAAAACCATTTAAAGAGGACTTTTCAGAAGCTAAACTTAGCTTCTGTTTTTAAAAAAGTCATAAATTATTTGCAATTTTTTAAGTTAAAACTTCTTTAGGCGCGTTTTGCACTTTTTTGAGTGAATTAGATTGAGCCGTCAGATCTCCGACGTGTACCGCTCAGGTAAAGTTGACGGAATCGACTAATTGGAGTGTTTTTGCATGCGGACTAAATTGGGCTCAAAAACTAAAAATGGTATGCGCAACACAAAACATTCACTTATCCCTCTACTTTGATGGCATTTTTTTTCTGGCAACGATGGGATATTATAAAATTTTTGAAGTGTATTTTAAACGGAGCTAAAGCTATGAAATTATAATGCACTTCACTTTACACAGTCTAAGCAACTTTCATACATGTGACTCCAGGTGTAAACTATCCCACCTTTGACCCAGATCGATTAATAGCTACACCCATTCCATTGTTCTCAAGAACGCATAGATTATTTAATATTAATATTCATCTGAATACGTTTAAATTGATTCAAAAAGGCTAAACTTAATATGCGAAAATTTAAATTGCAATGTTTCTATTTTATATGTAGAAATATATAAATTTTCAAATGTATAAACATGAAATATTTTTAAAAATATGTTCACCGCATAACATTCCATTGTGTCAAATTCAAAGACCATTATTATGTTATCGGAGATTTTAAAAATAATATCGATTTTAATATTGTGCGATTCTGTATCGATTTATTTTAAATTTCAAATCATGAATCTGGAAAGTAAAAAAAAAAAAATCGATTTATGATTGCGCAATCTTAAAATCAACCGTATTTTCAAAAATAGATCTTCGATAAAATAAAACTCGATCTTTGCATCGAATTAAAAAAAAAAAAAGTAAGAATAATAGGTGTGTCTCTGAAACAATAATGTTCCGTTTCATCGAAGAAAAATAAAAATTTAATAACTCAACTCTCCCTCGTGTCCATTACATAGTCAGGTTAGGAAGACAGTTGAAATTTAATGATTGACCAGTGTAGACATGGTCGATTCTAATTTTCGCTAAATTCCCCTTTATCGAGATTTCAGTCTTTTTGGAGGATTTCGTCATCTTCCAATTTTCGTAATGTTAGCATTTTTCGTCAATTTTAATTTTTTTTTCTTATTATTTTCATTGTAAACGACCAAAAAATTCAAAAACTTAACCCCCTCTCAAAATTTTAGATTCTACGTTATTCAATTATCAAATTCTTTCAAAAGTTATATTTAGCCTTTTTTTATAATTCCTAAGAATGTAAGATAGTTAATTATATAAAATAAATCAAATTAAAAGTACTTTAGAGGAAGACATATTAAACATTGGGCATTTAAGTAAAGTGACATCAATGAGTATAAGGCCTAAATGATATTAATGACCACTTGATTATACAATGATACATCGAGCTTAATCAAAATCGTTGGAGCCGTTTTTGAGAAAATTGTAAAAATGTGTATAACCGTAGATATAAAGTGGCACTTCCGGTTAGTCGATTTTAACGAAAAATTGCTATCACATCTAAGGCATATATCTATCTTAATTACGTAATATTAGTTTCACACGACTTTTCGTTTTTGAGCTAGACTGTTCACATACATACACAGACCATTTTGAGGGAATTGGTTATTTGGACTCAGGGGACCACAAAACGTGTATTTCCGTTGAAAACTCAGATTCGAAAATTTTCACGATCGCAATATTTTCCCTTACTATATATTACATATATTGGTAAGTGAAAGTAAAAATGCATCACATTTTTCATTCTATTGCTGCTTTATTTATCCTTAACTATGTCTTTCAAGTAGAATAACTGACATTTTTCTTCTTTGTTTAGAATCGCAGATGACACGAAAGACTCCTGCTGCCTACTGGGACGGTGTCTACATGATGGCCGGCGAAGACAGACCTTCTGCAAGAAACCTCTCCTCCACCTTCATGAAGGGAAGAGACGGCCTCCCTTCCCTGTCCAATAGGACAGCTCTTCTCGCCTTCTTCGGTAAGCATTACATGAATTGGTTAAATATGTTATAATAGATTACAAATGTAAGTACTTGTGAGCGACGCGGCCTCTATGGCCTGTTATCTGCAATTATCTTGTTATTTGAAGTGTGGTTGATGTTATTTATATTTCTTATTATTAAATTAATATATTATTATTATATTTATATTTCTTATTAATATATATATTAATAAGAAACAGGCAAAAAAGAGGCAACAACAAATATATTTTTATTTCTTATTATTTATTGTGTATAGTATGAATGAGCTACTCTATATCACTATTACTATTGTCTTTGAGTGTGACAGATTGTAATATATCTCAATAAAGACTATTCAATTAAATTATATTATACGAGAGTCTAATTTCATATGAAGATAGGGATTATCAGTGTTGAGGTTATAAAAATTTAATAATAAGAAATATAAATAACAACAACAACACTTTGAATAACAAGATAACTACAAATAGCAGTCCATAGAGGCCGCGTCGCTCAAGTACCCAAATGTATCTGCTTTTAAAAGAAACTATTGAGAATAATTCGCAATAAAATTTTGTTTAGTGAAGGAATAGCAAAATAATATGGAAATAAATAGCTCATATGTATTATATAAGGAAGGAATTAATATTTTTTCCTTGGTCGATTACAATATTCCATTTAACATAGTAGACTAAAATATTTGTACAAATTGCTTTGCTAGGGAAAATTTTTAAACCCTGACCGGAAAGATAATAAAAGTAATAAAGCCAAAAAAAAGCCTCAATCATGAGCTTTCTTAAATTATTAAAAAATATAAAATGTAAGAAAAAACAAATGCCTTTAAGAAATAATAAACTTTAAGAAATATCAGCGAAGAAAAAACGTGTAGTAGAATTATAAATGCAGTATCTTTAAAGATAGAGAAATTATTATGTATAACAAAATTAATGGACTGTATCTTTGTAAATAATTATCCGATTTTTACGTTGTTTTTTTTTTTTGTTTTGTAGATAATTTAGTAATCTTTCTAATAATCATGGAAACTATCAAGAAATTCAATGGGTAATTCAAAATTCATACTTTTTGAATTATTCGCAAATAAAGTTTCTTTTTCTTTATATCTTTCTTCTCAGAAATTTCAGAGGGATAGTACTATTTTTCGCATGTGAATGAGGAGAATATTTTCAAAATTAGTGGTCAATTATTGGGTTTGATGAATAATTGACGAAGTTATGGCGTATCGAAAAAAAAAACACCTTTTAGAAATAATATGTAACATTATTTCATATAAGACATGGTGGGTTGAAGTCTACAATGACTACCATTGCTAATTTGTGTAGACCGGAGATCCATTTGTTATAGCTTGATAGACTATTAAGCTCAATGGAATAACTCTTTCAAACGATTATGTAGCATAAATAGTTCAGTAAAACTATGGGAAAGCACTATGGGAAATACGCAAATTCTGAAAAAAAAAAATCTGGAGCTTGTCATAGAACATTTATCATCTTATTAAGATGTAATGGCTCTGAATTTTACTTCGTGTTTTTATGAGAGGGGGGCTGGAAACGGATATTTTTTAGTTTTTTATGAATATATAAAAAAAACGCTGCAAATGATTTCACAATGGTTTATTATCTCCAAACAATTATACATCTAAAGTAACATTACCTTCAGTGTTACAAAGAAAAAAAAAAAAAAAAGGTGATTCCAATTATTGGACTAAACTGTTTTTCTTTAATCATTAGAAATATGCTTAAAAAAAAAAACTAGCATTATTTCAGTAACACATTTAAAATTTAAAAACCAAACAAAGGATATAACATTTGGAGTAGAACACATAAAAACAAACCAGAGACCATATCTTTGATCCTAAATGTCCGATTTTAACGATTTTTTTTTTTTTTTTTTTAGGAAATTTCATAAACGTTTAAAAACCATCGATCACAATGTTTCATTATTGAAAATAATAAACCAAAATATGTAAAAACCGCGATAACTCTACTAATAGTGCTTTGTTTTTCGAATTCTACGCATCTTGAAACGTGAAACCTCAAATTTTGTGAGTGGGTTATGTTTTTGAATTTTTTGGTCGATCACAATGTTTCATTATTGAAAATAATAAACCAATATTAGGTTTATCCAAAATACTTTCCCATACTAAATAACAGTAATTCCAGATATTAATTATAATAATAATGTAGAGTTGGTTGACCGTTGATATGATATGAGAAGGAATTAGTCGAGGGTGCGGTCAAAATAATTAAAAATTATTTATGCGGTCAAAATAATTAAAATTATTTATATATTTTAATTTTTTTATTTTTTTTGACCGCACCCTCGACTAATTCCTTCTCAAATTATAATAATAATTATTATTGGAAAGCCTTCAAGGGAGTTGTTCGTGGATAGGCGACAAAAGAGGTGACAACTACACGCATTTGGTGATAGTGCTCCTTGGATACCATAACCTTGGATACAACATGTCTCTTAAAATCTATTTTCTCCACTCCTACCTAGACTTTTTCCCTCCAAGTTGTGGAGTTGTTAATGATGAACATGGAGAATGATTCCATCAGGACATTTCTGTTATGGAACAAAGATATCAGGGCCATTGGAATGAGGGAATGCTTGCCGATTACTCTTGGTCTTTTGTAAGGATGCTCCGGAACTCCCTTACAAGAGGCAAGCTAAAAGACGACGATCACATGAAGCCAGCCCATAATCTCTTCAGACACGATCATCTGCGAGTAGTGTTGCCCAAGATCGGTCTTGGTCTTGCACTTTGCCAAGACCAACTGTTGCAAGACCAAGACCAGGACTGGTAAAAAAAATTGATTTTTTAAATTAAAATTAAGGCGAAATAGTTACTAATACTTGACAATCTTAGTTACTATGTGGTAATAATTGATATAACCAACATACTTTTGCATTTAAATCCTCTAATTTTTCATTCGGGCTTAGTTAGGTTTCTCCTATCTAAAAAATTACAGTAATATCTCTATAATAATAAGTAACTGCAAGACTGTTGCGAGAGTCTTGCGCAAGACCAAGACCACGACCAAGACTGAGTTTGCAAGACCAAGACTCGTCTTAGAAATAGAACTCTTAGAATGTAACTACCGTTTTGAAAAATCAAATGTACTTTCAAATTGTTAGCATATATAATTAAAATGTATATTTTTCTCTTAACTCGTTAATATAAAATACTTCCACCTATTATATTTCACAGAAGTGCTAGGAAAAATATTTCATTCTTATATTCGTTTTTCTCACCCAAAATTAGTAAGAATTGACTCATGAAGTGCTGAAAAATTCAAAAATTTGTTTTTTCTTGCTCAGAGTAATTATTCAAACCATTTTCGTTCCTACGGATACAGAGATATTTATGAAATTTTAATTAAAGCAAAAAATGCTACAGATCATAAAATTGCTGTAGTTCATAACATATTATACCATTTTGAAGTTCAATTCGTTTCTTTAACATTTTTATTGTTCGAATTATGATTAAAAGTTTCTCTGTTTCGATGATTATAAAAAAATCATTGAGAACAGAATAGTATTCAAAATCAATAAATCAGAAATATTGATATGGTGCTTAGTTAGATTGACACTGATTCCATGTATTGCTAATAAGTGATATCAGACCTTAAAACCTACAAAACGGTTTTAAAAAACCATGAATTTCCACTGCAAACGAAAAAAAATTAAAACCTATGTCTTTATTTAAGTAAGACACGTTTTTCGTTGAACAGTAGGTATAACCAATAAATCATTTAAAGTAGGTAATTAACAATTGCTTCATTGCAAACCAGACTAATATATCTTTGAATTCATGTCTTTGTGAAAAATATTTAAAGAGGTCGTTTAAGCAGCTAAACTATGCTAAGTTCTACTTATCACTATTACACATTTGAAACACTAAGTATTGTTTTAAGGTAATATTTGTGATTTTTAAAAAATAATTTCCTTTCTTCTTACGGGATATAGTGATGGAAAAAAAATGTTTTATTAAAATCCTAATCTTTATTTATCTTTTTTACTTTGATTTGAAAACTTCAAAATTACCAGAGTTAAAGACATTTCCCCAAAACACGATCTTCCTCGCCAAGAAAAAGTGTGAACCTTAAAATAATTTTAACTATGGTTTTCCTCACAGATATACCGTATAGCTAAAAAGATATTCTCACACAGACTTCAAACTTTCCAATCAAAAATATTATGATGTAGAGATGGTTGACCGCTGATATAATATGAGAAGGAGTTAGTCGAGGGTGCGGTCAAATAAATAAAAAATTAAAATATATTAATTATTTTAAATTTTGCCGACGTTTCGACCCACTTTGCAGGTCGTCTTCAGGGCTACAAAAGATACAAAACATGTTGAAAATAAAAAATAAATATAAGTATATATTAGATAAGAAGAAGTTGTCAGATACAGAAATAAAAGATGGTATCAGATATATAGTGGGTGACAATGTAGTTAAATATTAAGAATTATATATGTAGAAGATTGTAGTAGACATCCCCCTGTATTTACACCATTAGTTGACATTGTGTGAGGGAATGAGAAGGTATATATAATATATAGGAATGTGAGGTAGCACTGTGAATTGTACTCAATCGTGCAGTGGACAAATTGCTCATTGGAAAATCTGACATCGATAAAGAATCGAAAAGTAGAAAAGGTTCGATCAGGTAGCTGGCAACAGATGGCAAGGAGGACACCAAACACTTAAGGCCTGGACACCAACACAAGAGGACGTCATCTGGGAAGAGAGGCTTACTACATTGAAGACCAAGATTATCAAGCCAACCATTCACACATATATATTAATTTATTATCAGTTGTCAAAATAAATTGTTTTATTATACCGGAGTGAATAGTCCTTTTATTTAGTTGTCCTATAGGCCTCACGATTGAAGAATAAACCAGGTGAGTCAATTCAAAGTGTTTACTAAGTCCCACATTTCATATATATATTCTTATTGTTTCTTCTCACACAGTGTCATAAAA